ACTCCATCAATCTGGCTAACTCTGTTTGCCCCACCCTGGAGACCCCCTGAGATTCTGTCCTACCAAACTTAGGGACCCACCCACACTGTTAACCATGGCTTTTTCATATGAATGCCTGATCTTGGCTCATGCTTCACAACTTCCTACCTCCTATCAAACAAGCCACAGCCGGCCTCAATGAGCTCCTAGGCCAGGCACTAGCAGCAGCCAGCTTAGATTCACAGCTTGGCCACACCTGGGGCTCTCTAAGCCCAGCCCAAGTAGCAGCCATCTCAGATTGCTTTATAGCTCAGGCAAGGTGGCCCCAGGCAGAATACAGGTTGGGGCTAATCTTGGCCAGCACCACCCAGGAAACCCCAGGGCCAGCATACCCAGTGGACAGCTACAGACCATGTTGCAGCGCTACCACCCTGCCCCTGCATAGCTGATCCCTGGAGAGCACAGGTTGGTGGTCAGTGGTCATAGCCAGTTCTTGCAACTGACTGGCCTGGGTAAATCCCTTCCACTGACCTGCCAACAGTAATCAAGGCTCAGCTACAAGAGGAGGGTGTACTTGTCCCACATGAAAGGTGCGCATCAAGTACCCAGCTTGGGTGAAAGGGGAGGCTATGCCACTGGACCCTACAGGACACCTACTACCTTAGGCCACACTACTAAGACACAATCAAAGTAGCTCTACCTAATATATAGAAACAAACACAGGGAGGCTGCCAAAATGAGGAGACAAAGAAATATGACCCATATGAAGGAAAAATCAAAACTCCAGAAAAAGAGCTAAATGAAATGGAGCTAAGCAATTGATCAGATGCAGAGTTCAAAACACTGGTTATGAGGATGCTCAAGTACTTGGTGAGGACCTTAACATCATAAAAAAGATCCAGTCAGAAATGAAGGATACACTAATTAAAATAAAGAACAATTTACAGGGAAACAACAGTGGAGTGGGTAAAGCCAATAATCAAATCAATGATTTGGAACAGAAGGAAGCAAAAAACAACCAATCAGAACATCAAGGAAAAAAGACCAAAAAAATGAGTATAGTGTAAGCAGCCTCTGAGACAACTTCAAGAGTTCCAACATTCACATCATAGGGGTGCCAGAAGAAGAGATAGAGCAAGAAATTTGAAATCTATTTGAAAAAATAATGAAAGATAACTTCTCTAATTTGGTGAAGGCTATAGGCATGCAAGTCCAGGAAGGGCAGAGAGTCCCAAACAAGATGGATGCAAAGAGATCCACTTTAAGACACATCATTATTAAAATGCCAAAGGTTAAGGATAAAGAGAGAATCTTAAAAGCAGCAAGAGAAAAACAGAGAGTTACCTACAGGGGAGTTCCCATAAGACTGTCAGCCAATTTCTCAAAAGACACTTTTCAGGCTAGAGGGGACTGGCAAGAAATATTCAAAGTCATGAGAAACAGGGACCTACAGCTACCACTGCTGTACCCAGCAAAGATATCATTTAGAATCAAAGGGCAGATAAAGAGCTTCCCAGACAAGAAAAAAAACTAAAGGAGTTCATCTTTACCAAACCATTATTATATGAAATGTTAATAGGACTTATTTAAGAAAAAGAAGATCAAAACTATGAACAATAAAATGGCAATAAATACATATCTATCAACAATTGAATCTGAAAAACAAAGTAAGCAAATAAGAAGAGCAAAGTCAGAATCATGGATACTGAGAGAGTTTTGATGGTCACCAGATGGGAGGTTGGTGTGGGGGAATGGGTGAAGAGGTGGGAGGAGTAAGAAGTACACCAGGTAGTTACAGAACAGCCATGGGGATGTGAAGTACAGTATAGGAAATGGAGCAGCCAAAGAACTTACATGCGTGACCCATGGACATTAACAATTGTGTGGGAATTGCCTGAGGGAGTAGGGGGTGCTGGGTGGATGGGAGAAAGAGAGGAAAATTGGGACAACCATAATAGCAAAATCAATAAAATATAGTAAAAGATAAACTCAAAAAAATTCTCAAATGCTCCATGACTCCCAAAGATGAACAAAGAAGCCACTAACTTAGAGACTAGTCATTATTTCCTCAGTTAGCATTTAGCCCCTTTAGTCCAGTGAGCTATCATTGTCACATGGCCCATAGATTCAGTTCTCTATTACTTATGAAGCTCATGGATAAGAAATGACCTTTATTTTTATGTAATTTCAACATAGGATTGAGAGTCACCTCTTTAAAGTAGTGTGTAACTTTCCAAGATGGAAATTATTGGATAGCATTTGTATCATTTCTATATGTGCTACTTCTTTGCTTCAGTCTGCTTGGGCTCTGGTCTTTAAACAATGATCGCCAAACAGTAATCTACCCATGAAAATCTTTAGCAATATGCTCTTATCTTTGTAACTACAATCTATCCTGCGTTATATAATTGGTTCTTAAGAGGATGTTCTTTTTCTCTCTCTCTCTCTCTCTTTTTTTTTTCCCCTTCAAGAAATTAGGTAATTCCTTAGCAGGAATTTTTTATGAGATATTTTAGGTATGGTCTACCCACATTTCCAAGAGCTTTTATATCTTCATTCTTTTGTTGGTGGTTTTTGGTTGTACTTTATCTTCCCTTCAGAAACATTTACTCAAGTCAGGGAAGGATGGAAGAGGAAGGCTGCAGAGGGATCAGATGAGCAGGTGCTTGGGGGACATTCTGTTCCTGCCAAATGATCTTTTCTTAAAAAGTATTGAATATTTTCCCTTTAATTTCCCAATCATAGTGCAACTTGTTCTTTGCCAAATAGTTTTTGGGGCTTTGCCTAGGCCCCGTGTGCCAGAGTCAAGGATTCATGTTGGCCAGACATTGCCACATATTGAAGGCGGGAGCCGTTTCCAGGAAAGCTCGGGGAACTGCGGCTCCGAGAGCCCTTTCCTTCACTGTGAAAGCCAGGCCTGGACACTTTTGACCATCTGGAAAACTTTGGACCCAAGCATCGATATCTGTCTCATACATATTTTTCTTTTCATTTCCTAAGTTTTTAAAAATTTCTTGTTCACTCGAGATATATATTTATTACTATTTTAATCTATGTACAGCAAAAAGAATTGTATGCTTGAGGGCTGCAAAGAAAGTCATCAGAAAAGAGTTGACATACCCTCTGTGGATATATATTATTATTCTCTGTGCCATTACGATGCTCAATAAGCAGTTTTGGAATGAATACATCTGAAAACTTTTTGCTGACATGCTGTTAGTGACAAAGTGTCTTTTTTCAGGTGCTCTTCAGGTGTCCATTATACTCGGGAGCACATTATATACAGCAAAATACGGTACCCACTATGCACTAATCACAGTATTAAACACGAGATATATCTTTGTCTGCAGAGTATTTATAGTCTATTTCAGAGATTTTAAGACACACATTCAACAGTTAATGAGTGACACGGTATTATATACTAAGTGCATATTATTCATAGAATAAAATAGTTCTGTAGCATTGAAAATTAGAAAATTAAACATTCAGTTGGCATTTACTGAGTGGCTACCGAGTGCGAAGGTGTAGGTATCGAAAGTTAAGCAAAGTTTAGTGCCATATTAGCAATGACCTGAGAGTGTACCGTGATAAGTGACACTGGTCAGCCACTCCAATGATAAAAGGTAAAGATATATCAGGATCACAGCGGGCCAGCAGTCCCTGGGGAGGTGTAAAGTGTCCAGCTTTGAGTGCTCTGTCACTGATGATTATACAGATTCTAGGCATAGATCTACCAGGGGTGTCCAACTCATGGCCCATGGGCCACATCTCGGCCCAAGGTGTCTATGAATGTGGACCAACACAAAAATGGAAATTTACTTAAACCCTTATGAGATTTTTTTGTGATTACGTGTCACAGTGTATTTAATGTGTGGCCCAAGACAACTCTTCTTCTTCCAGTGTGGCCCAGAGACACCAAAAGGTTGGACAGCCCCGATAGACCGTTTAATCCTCATAAGGGTTATGGCTGAGATGTGCTATTATTCCCAGTGTATCACGCAGTGTGTGTCTTTCCAGCCAAAGTCCTTTTTGTGTGTTTTCCCTCCCTTATCACTTTACGGTGCTCTTTGGTGAGTTCAGTTTGTTTAAACACGTGACCCTTGGGTCTTACTTCAGCATCCCATACAGAAAACCAGTGTGAGACATGCTGATGTGAAAGCATCTCTTCAGGATTTCTGTATCTACCCTTTTGCTTTCCTATGTTCATGTTGACTGGCCTTGTGCTCCAGGAGGATGTTGTTGAACCCAGCATGTCCAGCTCTGCTCACAGGTGCTTTCTGATGATGCTAACAAGGACACTGGCAGCCTACAGTAGTCTTGATCAGCTGTCAATGTGGCCATAGTTTTCATGTCCAGATCCTAGTTTTCTAACCTTTTTTTTCTTTTTCCTCCTTTTTTTTTTTTTTTTTTTTGACTGGGGCTGTATACCATCGTGTTCTATTCTCTGCATTCTCTGTGCTTCTTTCTTTGGAAACCCCCTTCAAGCTAATAGCTGGGATGGTGAAAGCACTGGCAGCCCCTTTGCCTGAGCTTTCGACATGTTCCCTTGGCAGATTCACTTAACTTTATGGAGGTTGGAGCTTACCTGGAAGAGAAGAAAGTCATTCTCTGGCATCCAGAGGGGTGACATGCCCTGGGGGGTTCTGGGCTCCAATTTTCAGTTTAGTCATTTGACTTAAAGGGTGAGGCAGCCCTAAAGGAAGGTGACTTTTTTTCTGCCTTTGCCAACTTCAGAAACAGTGTGTTCTGTTTACTTGTGTTCCATTATTACTGGGAGCTGACTCATGTTTCAGTTGAGATTAGTGTGGGTTGAACTGTACGATATAGCCATTTTTGTAGTGAAAAATGCTCAAATATTGGCAGTCTCATCTGATTCAACCTAGTATATCTTATCTGTGAGTCTATACTAGTTTATAGCTTGCTTGTCTTAATGCTGAGCTTTGAAAAAGTATTCCAGATGCTATGCTAAGCGATTTCAATGGAAAGCCATTTCTAAGATTTCTCTTTACTGTGCTTTCTAGGTCACTCTGCACCTCAACCCCATCTCCTCAGTCCACATTCACCACAAGCCTGTTGTGTTCCTGCTCAACTCCCCAAAGCCTCTTATCTGGCATCTGAAGACAGAGCGGCTTGCAATTGGCGTCTCCCGACTTTTTTTGGTAAGTGTTTGAAACCCTCCCACAATGATCTTGAGCACAGAGATACAGAGACACTACAGCTTTGCAAGGCATTTTCATTGTAATAATACCAGAATTCCACAGTGTGTTAAATTTGGAGTGTGCTCTTAATGAGGTTTGGATGACACAGATAAGCATTCACAGACAGCAAACACCACTCATGCCTTCTTCTGTGGATGCAGCGTCGAGTCTGGTTTGCACGTTACTGTGGGACCTGTGGTCATCCTCTGTGTGGCCTGAGCTTTGGTCTCAGCTGGGAGACCCTCCCCCCACTGCCTGGTGGCAGCACGAGCAATGTAAATATTGTCAATAGCCACTAGGTGTGTGGTCTCTGACCACAAGCTAAATAATGCGCAAACCCTTTCTGTTTGTATATAACGGGCCTGGTTTCTGATACGAGGATCTGTTTGTTGAGAAAGTGACACAGTGAGCTCCAAAATGAAAACATTTGTATTTTATAAAAAAGCTGGAACCCGGCACTTGTGGAAAGATCCAAATATTACCTACTATTTGTAAATCATGTCCTTTCGAGTTTGCCAGAACATTCAAGTTTGCTAGTTGTGGAGAAATTGATGGGTTGTTTGGATGGATTTTTGGGGTATGATATCATGTCTAATGATGAGCAACATTGCACTTCACAGTGGAGCTCACATTGTCTGTTGCTAAAGCTACATGCTAACGTACTCAAGTGCAGAGCCTTGGGCTTTTAGACCTTTCTTGCCCACGAGCATTCAAAATAAGAAGTGGCCTCAGTTGATAGTGCTTCTCTTGCACGATGGATAGATTTTCCCTAGTTAATTACTTAATCCAGATCTGTAGTTTCTTGTCAGAGTTGATTGTGCAGTAGTCATCAATGCATGCTATATTTAGTGGAGGTGGAGGGAATTTGAGGAACAATATATTTACATAGTCTCTAATCACTTATTAATAACACATGAAAAAAACCATAATTAAAGGTAGTGCAGATACCCAGCAACACCTTAACCAGGGCATCAAAATTAACATCAACATATGGTGTAGATGAGCGCTGTGTGCCTCTACATGTGGTAACCTGAGAACAAACATAGCTCCACTTATGTAGTTTGGACCTAATCCTGAGGAAACATTGGAGAAAACCCAACTGAGTGCCATTCTAAAAAACAACTGGCCTGTGCTCTTCAAAAATGTTAGTCATGAAAGACAGAGAGAGGCTGGGAAGCCATTCCAGATCAAAGGAGACTCAAAAGACACATGGGATCCTGAACTGGATCCTGTCAGGTAGGGAGGAGGCCATTGCTGTAAAGGACATTATCAGGATAATAGGCAAAATGGAAATTGGGCTTACAGATTAAAGTGTTGTATCAGTGTTGTATTTCTTGAATTTCATAATCACGTTATTGTTACATAATAGATTATGCTTCTTAAGAGACCCAAATACACTTAAGTATTAAGGGAGAGAGGGCCAAATAATTTAGAAAAACATACGATGTGCAGATAAAATGAGAAAGCAAATATGGCAACAGGTTGAAAACTGGAGAATGTGGTTACAGGGTAAGTAAGAGTTCTTTGTACTATATTTTCAACTTTGTAAATGTGACTTCATTTCAAAATAAGAAAATTAAAAGTATATTTACAAGGTAGGAGTTACTACTAATTTAAATGGTAATCTTCTTGAGAATTAAACTCATTACTTCTAAATTTAAGAGGCCAAAAGTCAGAGTTGTTGTTATTCGTATTCCTAGCACATTTATTTGGCACTTGTTATTACAGTAGGCTCTCTGATACTTGTTTTTAATTCTCACAATAGCTCTGTGTGATGTGGGCATTCACCCCATTTTACAGATGCATTTACAGATGAGAAACTAAGACCTAGAGAGGCTAATTAAGCAGTGACCTAAATATCTCGGCCCATTACTGGCAGAGCTGGGACTCAAACTGAGACAGGACTTACTCTACACACTCTTCATGGTAAATCGTCTCCCTTCATGCTCATGTTCACTGTCAGTCTTCTGTGCATATAGGTGTTTGTGATGGTAAAACCACTGACCATGATCATAAGGTCACATTTAGCCCTTATAAAGCAGAGCTGTGCTATCCATCCACAACGGTAGGCACTAGCTGTGTATGGCTGTTTAAATTTAAAGTCACTAAAGTCAGAAATATAGTTCCTAGGTGCACAAGCCACGTTTCAGGGGCTCCACAGCTACACGGAGCTAGGGACTCCCACATAGGGCAGCCTATGAAGAGGTTGTAAATGAAGACTTTGCCTACCCTGGTCTGAACCCAAGCAGTAACCTGAAGCAAATTACTTAACTTTTCTAAGCCTGACTTTCCTCGTTGTCATATAGAAATAATAACAGTACCTCTGTCATGGGGTTACAGTCTTGATTAAATGAGACCGCATATAAAATGTTTAGTACAGCATCTGGCACCAATAACTTCATTGCCCTTACCTGCCATTTGTTGCTATTTGTTGATAGTCATGGTAAAGAACACTTGGGAAGGGTGCTGAATCTACATTTTTAACTGTGGCACGTCTAGCTGGCCTAGCCCCAGATTGAGATGGGTTCCCGTTTCTCTGGCTGTGGGTGCAGAAAAGTGTGGGCCACTTACATCACGGCTGCACTGGTCTCTTTCTGGATTTCTTCTTTCACCTGTCACTCTCTGGGTTTTGAAGGAAGGTGTTGTGCTCCTAGTTATTATTTACCTGCTTTTATTTTGTTTAAGATCTATGAAGAACTGCCTCTTGGCCATCAGTTTAAGACACACTAACAATGGAAAAAAATAAAAGGAGACAGTTTCAGTAAACAAATTAACATCAACCCTGTTTGGAGTTAATCCCCTGCAGGGAGATTACAGACCAAGGGATGAACCTGGAATTACCAATGGGGGAAAAGCAGCATTGGAAAAAGCCAGTGGATTTAAATTCTGAGACATCTAAAGTCTGCCTTGTGCTCCAGCAGGCTTTCCTTTGGGGGAGATGGTTTTCTCCACTCCTATCCTGGAAGAGATGGAACATCTGTTGTCCATTCTGGTTCTCAGATCATCCGATGACAAGTGATGTGAGATCCGCCACCAGCGGGCAGCTCTCCCCAATGGAGAGAGTGCCGAGGTGGAGCGGGTAAGGCCCTCACAGCCTGCAGGGAGTGTCAGGGTCTGCTTGTCCCCTCAGCAGCCATTGCAGTGGAAGGGTTGCTTCTGGACAGAGAATCAATGGTGTGTTCTGTTGATCTATTCATAGTAGTTGAAAGTGATAAGGAAATTATTTTGCATAAAGTGCTTCATCTGAACACTTCAGAAAGCTCATGGAATCTTTGGAAACTAGAGCTTAGTTGTTTCCATCACTGCCTTCTCCACAGTTAAAGACCTTAGAAGGAGCTAAGGAGAGATGATGGGTCTCTTGACACTCAGTTTCAGATGGAGGTGTTGTCGCGTCCTCCCTGATATGCTACAGAAGAATTTGCCTGACTGTCAAAGCTGCTTTACTTTCTAGGTAGAGTTACAGTACTTTGCCAGTTTTTTTTTTTAAAGTACAGTGGTAAGAAAAGTTCAAATACTGGCATCTACTCATCCATCAAGGTGATTTTTTAATTTAAGTTGAATGTTTGCGTTGTTATAACTCCCCAAATATGAAAAGGAAACCTTTCATAATGAGTTAATAGGGCCTTATGTTACTCAGAATGTTGCAGCCACCCACGAGGGTGACTAAAAACATTACACAGCAGGTCCTCAAACAGCATTGTTTTGTTCAACATCATTTTGTTATTACTGTTAAGAAGAGGGGAAAAAATGGATTCCCAGCCGGGGCCACTGTCTGTGTGGAGTTTGCACGTTCTCTCCAGGTCTGCGGGTTTTCTCCCGGGACTCAGGTTTCCTCCCACGTCCCAGAGCTGTGCGTGCTGGTTTCACTGGCGTGTCTACATGGTCCCAGTCAGAGTGAGGGTGGGCGCGGGGGGCCCTGGGAAGGAAGGGCGTCCTCTCCAGGGAGGGCTCCCACCTTGCGCTGTGAGCTGCTAAGATAGGCGCCGGCTCCCCTCAACTCTGATCAGGAATAAGGAGGTAGGAAAAGAATTTTCTGGGGTTTTTTTTGTTGTTGTTGTTAATCTTCCTTAAATGGATTATAGCTCACATTTATTTCAGTGGTTAATATACAAATGTTTTTGTATCTTTATTTAGAAGTTTGTTGATGTTTATATTACCACAGGAATTTAACTCTTGTTTATATCAATTAGCCTGTGGTAAAATCGGTTTCATTATATGTTGTTTTGCTTAAAGTCACTGTTTTCAAGAACCTGTCAATGACATTTCATGAGGCTTTACTACACTTTAATACTGTCTAATAAAGGGATCTTTTTTCCTGTCAAATCACTCCAGTCCTTCTCGTGATTCCACAGTGCAGGCAAGAAGGGCATGCCAGGTGGGGGGAAAGCAGTACTGAGTTCCCTCTACAAGTGCAGTCTCTCCATCCAGTTGTTCTGGAAACCTGGGAAGTGGGAGCGACATGACATGAAGTTGTTCCAGGCTGAGTCTCAAATAGTGTCACACACACACACACACACACACACACACACACACACACACACACAAATTTATCACTGCTTTGTAGTTGTTCTTCTTCAGGGTGTATGGATGGCCCAGAAATACTGGGTAGGTTAGAGTTGTTCCTCAGTGCAATCAGAAATAAAAGCAATCCTACCCTTTCAGTCTTTCATGCTGAAATTATAAGTAAAACTCTGTTAGAAGAATCATCTCAGCTTATTTTTATTTATGTAATAATTTCCACATTGAAGGAAAAGTAGGGTAGCTCACCTGGGCAATAGATGTCTGAACTTTCGACTTGCATTTGGCAAGAAAAGATTGAGAAGAGCCACAGTACTAGGTTGTCTTTAAAACTATGCTGCAATTTGAACAGACACTTCTCCAAAGAGAAAGTACAGATGGCCAAAACGTGCATAAAACGAGGCTCAGTATCATTAGTCATCAGAAAAATGCAAATTTAAAAC